ACAAACCTTGGCTCACGGAATAGGGGGAATGTTTAATCTTGAGCCACTGTCTGCGAGTCTGCAGTATTTGCTACTCTCTGAGTTTCTGTAGCCCCTTCAGACCACCCAGAACCCACTCACTGGTACAGAAATTCCATGACTAGAATTTTTAATCACTCTTTCATTCATGCATGCCCTGTACCTTTTCAGTGTCTGGTACAGAATTCTCTCTAAGGGAACGTTTATTAAAAGGTCCTTGAGGAGAAGATAGTCTGTTGCTTCATTTGTAACCTTTCCAATTCTGGTGAACCTCACGAACTTGTTAAGATCAAATAGAATAATGACCTGTATGAGGATTGACACTGTTAACAGCCAGGGGCCCAAAATTGAAGCTTTGTATGATTTTAAGGAAATTCCGTGTGCTAGAGACTACTTCCTTCTAAATTAAAACGACTTCAGAATTAGGTTCTCTCTGGACCCCAAACTGAGGGCCTATCTCTTTCAGTGTATACACAGGCTTCTGCCCTCTGAGGGGGGGCCTGTGATATGCAATTGAGGCAAAAACCTCAGGAGGAGGTAGGGCACACATCCCCCCCCCATCAAACAATTCTTTTTTCCAAACTCACCCTCAGGTTTTCTTTACCAGGAAGGTTTCTGAGCTCACCCAGAAGCACCGCATTTCAGCCATGCTTTTAAGCAGAAAGGCCTGGGAAACTTTCTGGAAAGGACAAGCAGTTGGTCTCCATCTTAAGTCTTTAGGATATTGGATGAAACAAATGGAGTAGGAAAATCAAAATCAGGGGTGCCTCCTGCATAGGCAGGTATAGTCCCCTCGCCTCCCCATCTGTTCCAATTATTTCCATGTCCCCTGCCCTTCTAGTCACTCAATCAATAGGGGCTTAATGTCAGCATCTATCACCGGAACTGGGGTCAACCTTCTAAGATGGTAAGGCATACAAAGAAAGCAAGGAGGAGAAAGGAAGGAGGGAGAGAAAGGAAGGCTGGAGAGAAGTGGAGAAAAAAAAAAAGGAAAAAGGCTCGGGAAGGAGGAAGGAAGAGGTGAGTGGCAAGGGGAGGCGGAACAATGAAGGTCTCAGGCCGTCGGAGGCGCACGGTTCCGGCGGCACGTCCTTCCCGCCCGCCTCCGGCCAGCAGCTGCACGCTGCGCAGCGTGTGGGCGCTGAGTCACTGTCCCAGAACTGGGAGCCGCGGTGCAGGTCTGGGGGGGAGGGGACCGTCCTGGTTGGCATCTGCAAACTGTTTTTTTTTCTTTCCTCTTTCATTAAGGCTATGTGCTGACTCCCACGTAGGAGAACTTATTAAACCGCACGTACTGCCTGACGGCTCTCGGGCCCATCCGCGGCGGCAGGCAGGGGGCGCCGCAGCCTCGCCTCTGAGCCCGCCGGCTGGCTGAGCGCTCGGGCCGGCGACGACTGGGCTTGTTGGCTGCCGGTTTCCCGCAGATGTCCGAACATTTTGCTTGGGCAGCTTCTAGCTTTCACACCCGCGGTAGGCAGGGAAAACGCCTCACTTAAAAGGCCTCGGAGACCACCCCAACTCTCCGAGGCGCGCTTCCGCGCACAGTTCCATGAGCAACTCTGTAAATCTGGGACTCGGTTGCGCAACCGGCAGCGTCCAGGCTCGCTTCCCCACCAGGGCTCACCCTACTCCGCCCCGCCTGGCCGCCACGCGAGGCGGTGACCTCGGGCGTCTCCGCGAAGGCCTGATTCGCACCCAGGACACGCGCTGTGAGCGCCCCACACGGAGAGCAAAGCTCGTGACAGCTCAGCCCGAGCGGACAGGCGCCAGCACGCGACAGCGCCTACGACCCACTTTCCCAAGCCGGGTGGCAGGACCCTAAGGCTCCTGGGCGGGACAGGACCGGGGGTACCCTCCCTCCCTGGACGCGAGAACCGAGAATGAATCAGCATTGAGGCGGTTTATTGGTTTGCTGTTCGCATATCATCACCCATTTTATGTAAATAGATTATACAGAGACACGGTGTTTCCTTCTTCCCCAGGAGATAATCAGTCTCTCTATCACGCGCGGGGCGCGCGCTCACACACATAAGCACACACGCACACACACTCACTCCACGCAACAAGCGACGTTACACCTCGCTGAGACATTCACGTCTTAAAATAGGGGGAGGACAATACAATTGCTTTTAAATGCCCTTAATACAATATATAACGTACAAAAATATCTCTATATTTGAAGTTACAAAAAAAATCTTGACAGCAACAAACTTAAATATTGATAGTTACCTCTCTGTATGTACAACACACATTGCACTTTTCCTCTCTAGGTTTCGGAAAGTTCAAGTAATAGTTAGGCTTGCGCCCTGGTGGGGTGACACCCCGTGAGAAATCAGTTTGTAGGCGGGCACGGTAGTGGCTCAGACCCCTGCCCCTGAGGTCTCAGCATTTAATCCTCAGTTTCTCCTCTCTGTAAGCCTGGCAAACACTCTCTCGGATTCTTCTGTCCTCCTGGGGCACCCGGGCTTAATGAGGGCCAAGGGAGCACCGCCTCGAGGAGGGGCCCCTGCAAAGCCAGAGCTAGCCGCCGGACGGTGCCTCCCACACTCGGGTCCCTGCAGGACTGTCACTGCCCGGTCCCCATAAGGCTCGGGAAGCCCTCCGTCGTGGCAGGCGCCAGCGGGATGCTTTTGAGACTATTTGCTGTTGCCACAGGCGCCTATATCCTACGGAGAGTGGTGAGGTGCACCCCAAAGGCTGGAGCCCCGCGTGCCTGTGGCTCGGAAGACGGAGTCCGATCTCGGCTGGCCTCTGGCAGGGAGCGTCTGCGCCGGCGGCCGTAGCCCTGGGGGCTGATTTTGCTCCTGGGGGCGACGCCGTCCTTGTCCTTGTCTGTGAACTGGTAGATCTGGTGTGCCAGCTTCTGCACTGTGCACGTTCCGAAGCGGCAGCCAAAGCTTCGGAGGGCCTGGAAGTTGTTCATGCTCTGGCGGTAGCGCTTGACTCGGATGCGGGCTGCGTCAGGACTGCTGCGGAGGAGAAGGAAGGCAACTTGAGACCCGGTCAAGCAGGGCTTTGGCCCCAGCCATGAGGAACCAGAGCCATTCCAGGGCCAGACGGAGCTGGAAACTGCTCGCGGCATCCTAGCTGCCAGCCAGTCCTAACGATCCCCAGGACCAGGACAGTGGAGAAGAGTTCCTCCGGCACACCTTTCCCCCACCCCGGGCCGTACGGAGCATAATTACCTGTCCTGGGGGCTTCGAGAGGCACCCTTCATGTCCTGGGGCCGAATGAGAGTCTGGGCAGGCCCGGCCTTCACGTCAGCAAGCCCGGTGGGGTAGCTGCTGGACACCCGCAGTTCCCTCTTTCCACGACTTAGAGCCCATTTATTCCACCTGGAAAACACAAGCAGAGCCGATTCGCTTGCATCCCGGTCTCCATGCCAGCCCGCTGCTGCTCCCATTCACTCCTAACCCCTCGGGACCAACGGTCAGTTCCCCTTGCCTGCGAGGTACTCACTTCTTTCGGAACTCCGACGCCACATCTAGCCTCGCGGTGTCCGCGCCTAGGAAGGCGAGTGAGCCCAGGTACATCAGGGCGACGGAAACCAGCTTCATCCCAGCGGCGATGCACAGATCCTGGAAAAGGAGAGACAGCAGCCGAGCGTGAGCACCCGGGCCAGCTGCACCGCGGGCGGGGCAGGGAAGGCGGGCTGGGGCCTCGGTGCGGGCGGGCTTAGCCCGCGCTCTGCCTGTCTCAGACGCTTATCTCGCCAGGGCGCAGAGAGGCGCCAGAGGCGTTTGCACCCGCCAGGCGGGTGACAGGCCCCGAGGGGAGGCAGCTGCACAGCGCCAGGCTCCCAGAGGTTCCCTGCTCAACTTCTTGGAACTTGGCTGACGGAGCAGAGGGGACTGGGTCTCTGGAGCTCCATCTGCGTACGGGAGCTGGGCCTGGGATGTGCCCCTCAGAGGATCCCCCAAAGTGAGTTGTTCCCCTAACCCAGCACTCCCAATTTCCGGCCTTGGCAACCCACCTCCCACCCCCTTCAACTTGCGGAGCCTGTAGCACCTACCTGCTGAGACAGTGATCTGCTGAGTACTTGAAGGAGAAAGTCCGAGACGTCCCTCTGGCAGTGGCAAAACCCCAAAGTCCAAGTCCCGCTGCGGTGAAAAGCCAGAAGAGGCAAGGCTACAGCTGCTCCGTCTAGTATCACCAAGAAACCACTGAGGGGCTAGTGCTGGTTCCTGCTCTTTATAAGAGCTCCGGGAGGCGGGGGCGGGGCCTGGGCTGCCCCGCCGCCCTCCCTTTCTGGGGCGCGCGCGCTTCTGCACTTGGGCGCGCGCATTGCTTGCCAGTGCGGGTGGAGAAGGGGGTAGGGATGGGGGTGGGAGTGGAGGTGAAGGTGGGGGGGTCCCTCGTGCCTAGAGGTCTCAGAGATGGGCTCCAGGACGTTGTGCAAGAACTGCCACAGCCCTAACTCTCTGGGCACAGGGTTCAGACAGTAAGCCGGGGCGAAGGAGGGCCAGTACAACCTCTTGGGGTCCTTACCCAGGACCTGTGCAGCCCAGAGTGCGGGGCCTCCTGGCAAAGAATAGCAAGAGCTCGCAGGGGGGACCGCGCGGACTGCCGGAGCCCCGGACCCGGGGAGCTGTGGCTTCAAGGGGACCGCGCCCCCTGCCGGCTTGGCGTCTGACCTGGCCGCGACCCCAGACTCCCGCGGAGCCGCAGGGGCAGGGTACAGGGCAGAGCCCGAGGAGCCGGGCTCGCCAGCTCTTTGAGAGCAGCCGAGACCCCGGGGTTTCAGGATGGGCTAGTAAGATTTCACAATAGGGGCCAGGCCCAGAAAGGCTGAATTGAGAATTGGGATTTGGTAGGGGGAATTACCTTATTGTCAGAATTTACGTGCCTATTTAGAAATACAGGAATAACCAAAATTAGGAAGAAATTTTTTCATTTTCCCCCCCTTGCAATCCAATTATGCCTTATAAGGTTATAACCTGAGAGTTTGCCTGGCTGCCTTCGTTCATCCATTGTAAACGTGAGGACTGATTGCCAGGGAGTACACTAATGCTTCACGTATGTTAATCACCTTACAGTTTACGAAGCACAACCATATCCCAGTCTCCTTTGATCTTCCCTCCAACCCTTGAGTTAGGTGAGGAAGGTAACATAACTTTGCTCGATTCACCAAGTAGAAAACTGAAGTTCAGAGAGGGGAAGGATCTTGCCCAAAGTCACACTACAGGGAGGAAGCAGTAGAGTCCCGACTCGGCCAGACAAGCAGGCACAGCAGATTGGGGTGCGGCGTGGATTCTTCTAAGCTGGGGTCACCATCTCCTGAAGGGGGAGAGGAGAGTCCCAGCCCCCGCCCAAGGATTTGCGCCTGTTCACGATGAATCACTCCAAACATGTTTGTCACCTATTTGTGCTCTTCCATCACCGCTTCTCAACTTCACTTTCTTACTTCTCTTCGGGGGCCAAACTGGGGAGGAAAGGCTCAGCGCCGCGGGGCTGCCTACGTCTTCTTGCAAGAGGCTTTCTGGTGTCCTATCGCCTACTTCCCACACGAATGTCCCGAAGCCCAGCGACTAGACTGAGAGGCCACGGGTGCGAGACCACTGATTAGACCGGCTTCTAGTTCTCACCCCCTGGCAATTCTCTGTGTGGACGTGCAGACGTCACGTTCCTTCCCTAGTGTGCCCGTCTAGAACTTGTCCCCGGCAGACCTCTCAGCTTTCTACCCGCTCTGCCTGCCATAACGATTCTGAGATCCAGTGCAAAGACGGCCGGGCGCTGGGGCGCGCGGACCTTGCCCACAGCTCGGTCTGGGCCGCACACTGCTGGCTCAGCCGCCCGTTCCCTCTCAGGACTGAATAGTGGACATTGCACCTGGGGAAGGAATGGCCACGCCGAGGTTATTTATTCTGACGACTCTTCCCGGAGGGAGTCACCGGAGCGGACCTGAGTTCCAGCTGAGCGCAGGGGACAGATTCCTGGCTCTGGCTCTGGTAAGGGCTTGGGACGCTGAGGGTCAGAGGGGTGCAGCGTGGCGAACTGGCCTGGCTCGGGCCGCCCGGCTGGCCGCAGGGCAGTCACCGCAGTATCCTGGGTCAGGTGGCTAGTCCGTCTGCTCTGCAGACAGCATGTATTACTGTGCGCCTGCTGTTTCCAGAAGCCTCCCTAGCCTATTGTTTTTCATGATCGACTCGCGTTTCCCATCTCTTCCGTTCACTTCATCCCTACAGGTCAAGCTCCTCCAACCCACCCATTACAGGACCGGTTGTCTGCAAGTCTCTCTGAGGATGCGACCAACTTGTCGCCAGCTTCCAGCTGGGTCCACGCCAGGACAGGTTTTACTTTCATTTCCTCGGCGGTGCGCGCCTCAGACTGCCGGGGAGGTCAAGGACAGCTGGGCGTCGGCATGCAGCCAGGGAAGATCTCGTGGTCTGAACTCGTTCCTTCCAGTCTCCGCCAGGCCTGAGGGGTTCAGTCTGCAGAGAATTCTGCGGCTGTACCTCGTTGCCTCCTCGCTGTATCTTTCAGCAAAGTCCAGGATTCCTGGGGGAAACAGTTCTCGCTTCGGGAACAGGATCGCGAGGCGTGCTCTTGGCTCAAACTTCTTTCTGAGCTGCAGGCAGCTTCAACAAGGAAAGCAAACCAAGGAGTGGAGGGAGACTCAGTGGCTCGGCTCTGCCAGCCTCCAGTGCCCACGCCAGCTGTGTCGCGGCTGTGCCAGGATCACACCTGAGAGCCTTAGCACGCGCCTTATCAGTCTGGGTGCACTTTCTCCCTCTGGCACTTAGAGGTCTGTCGCTTTAGAATTAAGCTAATTCTTTCTTAAAGTTAAGTCCTGCCTGGATTGGCAGCGCTGAGGATTTTGCTAGAAAACCCGTATCTTGGAAAGTGTGTATGTGTGTGTGTGTGTGTGTGGGTGGGTGGGTGTGGGCGCGCGCGCGCGCGGTTGAGCAACAGGAGCCAGAGTGCTCCCCAACGCTTTGTGAAGTTTAAGTTGAAAAAAGATAAAGAATTTGCCCAATTTAGGCATCTATTTTTTTCTCATGAAATCTCGAGTTTGCTTACTTAATCATTGTTAAAGACAAAAAAAAAAAATCACTAGAATGCATTTTCGGTTCAATGGTCCTATCTAGAAGGAAACACCACAGCGGGAGTTCTGATCCTGGTGATTTGTTAACATGCGCTTCATCCATTCAAGTCGCAGTGACTGTAGATTCACATTGAACACGGATAGTACAAGGAAGGAAGGAAGGAAGTGAAGGAAAAAACATCTTTAAAATCTCCCTGGCAAGAAAAGAGAAAGAAAAAGAAAAAAGGAAAAGAAATCTGGTTAATAAAGATCTACCTTTTTTGTACCCAGGAATTTAAGAAGTCAGATTATACATAAACCCCCAGTGTAATATATGTGTATATTCTCATATCATATATACAGATATAAATACACATATGCTAAAGGCTTGTTGCGTAACAGTGTCTCAACTTCTTCACATTCCAGCTGAATGATTTTTAGGCCCTAAATCCAAGCCTTACTCTTAGTAATGTTTGGAGTTTTAAAAAATGTGTGCTGGTGGTTTTTCAGCTAATGCTACAGACACAGTTCCTAAGGCCAGGGCAACCACATTCAGATCTTTCAGAAAAGTAATGAGAAATAATAAATAATATTAATTATATTAATGATATAAGAATAACTAAAATGCAAGTAGTATAAGTGCATTGCATAATTATCTCAGATGCCTCTTTTTTCAAACAGGAAATTTTATGATGCATTTATTATTTATATCATTCAACATGCCTGTTAAGCTGAGGGCTTGTTTACAAAGTTCACTTGAAAACAACGTTCAAGATGCATCCTGGACTCAACACAAAGTGGTTTAGAGAAAGGATACAATCAACCTTGAAGATTTGGTCACTCACAGGGAGAAGTAAAACAGGATACAAAGCCCAGGATACTTTTTTGGGATCTCTGACTTCTCTAAGGAGCTAATAAAAATATAGATACTTTCCAGAAAAATGAACATTTAAATAAACCAATTGAAGCATAAAATAGGCATCCAGTTTCAGGAGGTTCACCAAGTTAAGAACTCTGGTACAGAATAAAAAGTACTGTTTCTGTATTTTTAATTTCTGTCTGGTTTGGAGTAGTGGGGGCAGGAAGGACACTTAACCTCTCTATTTAGGGCATAATATTTTCCAGAGTGTCAGCATAAAGAAAAGTAATACTTTGCTGCTTCATTTTTGTTCTCCAACACAAAATAGACAGAAATAGTCCTTATACATGATAAAGCCAGAAGGCAAACCTTCCTGAAGCTTAAAGAAGGTAAATTGCTGTAGGACAAATGCAAGATAAGACACAGAAAGTGGTAAACATAAAAGAAGCTTGTTATATTAACAGCTAATACAGAACAGGATGAAATGACTTCAAGAGAAATTTACAACTGATGGCATAATGCATGAGATTAATGAATGGGTGATTAAAGGGATGATTAGATCTTTTGGAGTCATCCCTAGCCAAAGAGAATAATGATAATGAGAACAACCTTCATGCCACCTGCCTCCAGGTGGGGATTCTGTACTATTTGATTAGAAGAACGACTGAAATGAAGCAATTCCTATATATGGGATTACATGATTTGAAAGTTTACTCGTTCCTTCAACAACTATTTACTGATCATGTATTATGTCCTCAGCACTAAGTTCTAAACATACAATAATCATCAATGAAATCATTCTTCTTGCCCTCAGCAAGCTTATAGCCTAGTGGGGTGGCTAGATGTAAACAAATCCTCATGAGAATAAATACATGATTATAAACTGTGGTAAGTGTTGTGAAGGAAAAGCAAGACTAAGGGGAATCTAATGTTCCAAATGGAGGAAACAACATATGCAAAGCCTTAGAGATTCGGAAGAACTTGGCACATTAGATAAAATGAAGAGGCCAGTTTGGTTGGAATATATTGAGTGAAAGAGAAGAGTGGCATGAAATGAGATTAAAGAGGTCATCAAGGTCAGAGTAAATAGACACTTTGAGACATGTTGAAGATTTTGCACTTTATTCCTGGTGACATGGGAAGCTATTGGTTTGAAGATAAGAGAGACATGATTTGATATATTTATACATTTATTTAAGGGATCATTTTGGCTATTACATGTGGTTTTGATGGATAAGAGAGAAGCAAGAAGGGAAGCAGTGCAGCGGTGGAAATCTGGAGATATTGGAGAGGGTCTAGTCCTCCCATAGTTTCTCTTACACTTCCCCCCACCACACACATACACACAATCCCTTCACTCTAAATTGCACCAACAGAGCCAGGTTCACTGACATGTACCAGTGAACCTGGGTCAGTTACAAAGGGCCTGCACTCAGAAGGGTCCACTGGTTTGATGATCTACTGAAGCTGTCTTGGAATTCTTAATAATTTTTGAACAGGAGGTACTACATTTTCATTTTGCACTGGACTCCAAATTATGTAGCCAGTCCTGCTCACCAAACATACAATCTAAGTAAAAACAGCCTTACAAACTCTCACAGTACCTGTTTATACTGTAGCTGCTAGTGTCAGAGATACTTTGAATGAGTTAAGATTCAACCATAAGATTTCATCACACATGTGAAAGCAGGACACTTTCCACCAGCAATCTCTGAAGCCTCTTCCCTGTACCCCAAACACACACTCAAGGTAGAAATAGTATGTTTGCTATACAAGTTTAATTTTAAGACAGGTTCAGTAGCTTGCTTACTGTCCTTAAGTTTTACCTATATAGAAAGCCTGGAACTACCAATGTAGCTGGGATACCAGTTAGGAATGTATCGCAATAATCAAAGTAGGAGGTGATAATGGCTCAGACTTGTGGGGTGGCAGTGAGGGTGAGAGAAGTGGACATATTTGAGAGGTAGGAACAACAGGACTGAGTGATGAATGCTGGGCTAAGAGGCAACTGTCAAGGATAACAATCATTAAGTTCCTTGCTTAGGCAACTGAGTGGTTGAAGATGTAGCAATGAATCAGGGAATTTTCCACCACAGCTGCTTTGTCTTCTTTGATATGGGCTGGTAGAGGCAATATGAGGAGGCTCTTGCCCTGCCTGTGGATGTTTGGTCAAATCTAACTTTCATACTGCCTCCTTGAACTATAGTGGCTAACCACAGCAAGCACTCGAAATGACTGTACACATCAACCACTTACCCCACAATAGCCCACTAGGGGCAACCGCTGATAAGCCTTGCTCACTGGTAATAGGCTTCATTTTGTCTTCCAAAGCAAAAAAGATAGGCATCTGTTAGGTGCCTAGGTACACATCATTACTGTGTTACATACCCTTCCTCGCTTCCTGCTCCTGCCAGGCTTCAGAAAAACAAATCTGGCCTTGCTCTACTCCCTCTCTCTTTGATGAAAGGTGAAGGTGGTTATCTTAGAACATGGTCTGGCCTTCAGCCAACCTTAGTATCAAGTTGCCTCATCAGGGCTTATCAGTTTCAGCAGGCTGGCAGCTGTTGGCTGAGAAGCAAAGCACAGCTTCAGTGTATGCAAAATATGTTCTTGTATATATACAAACATGTAGTGCCTTTCTACATATACCTGGGATATGTCAAAATCATTATATGACAATATGCCCCTTTGTAAATGAACTGGCAGTCGATTTATGACCTTAACAGATGGAATATGTCTAAAAGAAAATATTTGATTCCAGGCTTAAAAACAACTAAACTTTGATTTAAAAAAAGTTAAAATAATTTAAACCAACACTTGCAAGTGAAATAAAAATCAACACATTTAAAAAGTTTCATAAAATGGGACCCCTACCACTATAAAATAAACTCAAAATGGATCAAAGGCCTAAATATTAATAGAAGAGCTAAAACTATACAACTCTTACAAGAAAACATGAGTGAATCTTCATGACCTTGAATTTGGCAATGGATTCTTAGATATGACATTAAAAGCATGGGAAACAAACTAAAAAATTAGATTTCATCAAAATTAAAAAACTTTTGTGAGGCCAAGGACATTATCAAGAAAATGAAAAGACAACCTATTGAGTGAGAAAATATCTGCAAATCACAGATCTGAAAGGACTAGTATCTAGAATAAATAATTCTTACATCTCACCAACAAAAAGGCAAATAATTCAAAGATGGGCAAAGAACAAAAAACAATGGCGATATACTACCTCTTATATTGTCCTAAATAGAGCTTGAGCCCATCCTTTGAAGTGAGGCATCACAAGAATGGAAAAATAAGTACCACATGTACTCACCATCAAATTGGTACTTACTAATCAACACTAAGGTGCTCACGTGTAGTAATATTCATTGGGTGTCAGTCAGGTGGGGGAGTGGGGGTGAGTAAACTCACAACTAATGGATGCGGTGCACACTGTATGGGGGAAGGGCACACCTCTAGCTCTGGCTTGGGTGAGGAAAAGTCATTACTTGCAACCAAAATGTTTGTACCCCATACTATCCTGAAATAAAAATAAAAAATAAAAATGGGCAAAGGACTTAAAAAGACATTTCTCCAAAGAAGATTTAGAAGTGGCCAATAAACACATGAAAAGATGTTCAATATCATTAATCATTAGGGAAATACAAATTAGGACTGCAATGAAATACCACTAAAGTATCTATTTGTTTTGTTAAATAAACACAACAGGAAAACAAGTGTTGACCAAGATGTAGAGAAATTCAAACTCTTGCACATTTCAAGATTGCAAAATCATGAGGCCACTGTAGAAAACAATTTGGTGGCTACTCAAAAAGTTAAACATAGAATTACCATATGATCCACTTATTCTACTCCTAGGAATATACCCCCAAAGAATTGAAAACTGGTACTTGTCCATCAATAGCTAAACAAAATATAGCATACACATACAATGGA